TTCTAGTCTTAGCCAGCTATGAGGCTCGAGCATGTTGATTAAGCTTTCCATCTTGGATTCATCATAAAATGAGAATAATAATAGCTACTTGGCTTATCACATAGATTAAATGGGGGAATTTTGAAGGTGAAATGGTAATGCAAGCAATTATAATTTGTTGTAATAAACAGTCTGTATTCAGTCTTGATCATTCCCATCATCGATTGCTGTTCCCAACGAGGACTGATTTCTGCCCTTGGACTCCTTGGGGAAATGATACTTCTTCTATGGAAACTTTATTAAAAATTAAGCCCAAAGTAAAGAATATATTTGAAAGAAAGTGTTGAGGAGTCAGTTCTTAACAGGTGGTGAGATCTTATGAAGACACCATCAAGCACGTGGATGGATCAGCAGGAAGGCGTCATCTGGCAGTCAGACAGAAGGAACAGTGGCTGGGTATGCTCACCTGGCAGTGGACAGGTGGGGACGCAGCAGGAGAGCAACACCATTGGCTCCAATGCTTGACATTAATCACATTCCTATGGAAATGCTGCAATTTTTACAGCATACTCGTGGAAGGAAACTGTCAAATTCTATTGGATGTTCGCTTACACTTTATTTAAGGATAAAACAAATAAACAAGTTAAACCACCAAATGGTTTTGTCCCAGCACCATCCTGAAAGAGAATGGAAATAATATTAAGTTTATTATGGTGGCCAAACCTTGAGAATTCTGTAATGTTTTGAGGGCATAGGCCTTTCTTTTGTGGCAAGAAAAATTTTCTCTGGAAAAATACTAGCTAGTATACAACATGTGTCTTTCTTGAAATGTAGCTCTTATCTGCAGATGGGAGCTTTACTTTCCCTCTGGAAGCACTGGAGGGTGTTTTACTTCTTTTCCTGTTAAGGGAGCAGAGTGGTAGCCATAAACAGAATAACAGAATAATTTGCTTAGGCAACACAACTCCATGGCTTACTCCTACACCCTTTGGTTTACATGTCTTGTCCAAAGAGGAAAGATGGATTCTCTTGAAGACTGTGGAGGTTGGCTGGATAAATATTTAATAAAAGTTTATTAATGAATTAAGGAATGAGTTATATTTCTATTGTCTGCTTCCTCATGCACCCACCGTCTTCAGGCTTCTATCCCAGTATGCATAACTTGTTAGTGAATGACAAGTCTTTAGCAGGTGGTCCCAGGTTTGCTTTGCAGTTTAACAACATCACCAAGGATCTGGGCTTCTTTGATTCTTCTGCTTTGTCATACTCAATAAGTTGAGAGTATCTCCCCTCATAGTCGCAAGATGAACTATTGCAGCTCCAAACATCATTTTAAAGCAGGAAACAGGGTTGGGGGAAGGGAAGCCTTTCTCCTCTCCCATCTCTCTTATTATGGAAGAAAATTGTTCCCAGAAGTCGCCCAAGGCTACTTTGACAAATTTCATTGACCAGGATGAGATTACATGTATATCTCACCAGTCACTGGCAAAGGGGAATGTGATTCTTATAGTTCCCCTACCTAGTTATGATTCACACTGGGGTTAGGCAAATTCTCTCTCCCACGACAAAATCAGGGTTTTGTTCAAAAAGAGGAAGTAGGAGATAACTATCATCGCTGTCTGCCGTATTCCATGATGACAGAACCTGCATCATACTGTCTAGTTATCCCTAAGCATCTAGCATACTGCTTGGTCCACAGTAGAGCCTCAAGAAATTGTTAAATAAATGGGAAATGTATGGATCCAGAGAGCCAATCAATAATAAAGAATTGAGTTCAATAATAGGTTGCATTTATTGAGCAACTAACATATTCCAGGTACGTAACACATATCATTTCTAATTCTTATAGTCTCTCTCTAAGGTGGGTTTTAAGATCTCTATTTCATGTATTGAGAAACCAAAGCAAAGACAGTTTGAGTAAATTGTCTAAGGTCATAAACCTAGAAATTGACAAGTCTATGTAGCACTAAAATCCAGTCTTCTTCCATAATCCCACAGCATCTCTCTATGTTGGGACACAGCTTTTGGTTCTCCTTGGCTTGCCTGATATAATAATTTTATTTAGTGTCCTCCAAGACCAGAGAATCTCTGGTAGACACTGAAGTCTTCAGCTTGTATCTTCTCTAATCACCCATATGGATAAATGAATCAAACTGAATGGGAAGGTAGCAGGCAAAAGAGAAATATAGGCGATGCATCAGTTTCTAATGAGTAATTTTCTTACTCATCTTCCAACCTGTTCAACTTAGCTGCCTTGCAGCTAAGTTTGAGACTTTGAAAAATAAGCTACTTAAGTTAGAAGAGAGAATATACAGAATAAGACTTCTTGTTCCTGGTCAATAGAGACAAGGGTAATTTGGATTCGGTAATTTGGGGCTTTATCAGAAAATTGCTATCAGTTCTTACCTAGACCACCGCAAGGGCTATGTAACTGGTGCCCTACATCCACCTGGGTCTTTTCCCAAATGGCAGCCTGAGTGATTTTTCAAAATCACATCTTTTGTCACTCATTAGCTTAAAATTTTCAATGGCCTCTTGTTGTACTTAGAATTAAGACTAATGTGACTTTAATGTTCTGACGCTCCATTAGAACTGGGCTTCTACCCCTCCATCCTCACCTTTCTCTCTGCCCTCCAACCACTTTGGTCTCTCGTTTTACTTCCCACACTCACCAGGCTACCTCCTACCAAAGAGATTTCACACACTGATCCTTGACTGCAAAAACTCTTCCCTGATGCCGGGTTAACTTAGATTCGGCCTTCAGGGCTCAAGTGTCAATTCCCTGACAGCACGACCCCCTCACCCCCAGGTCAGGCTTCTTTATTCTGTGTGCTCTTAGAACACTGTTTCCTTCTTTTTCTAGCAGTTACTCACTTTGTAACTATACACTGATTTCATGACTATTGGGTTGATGTCTGCCTCTCCTTATAATGCTGTAAGGGGTAGTGGTGAGTTCATCATCATGTTCATGTTCATGTTCAGAGTGCAGTTCTAACACTTAACTAGCTATGTGACATTGAGCAAGTTACTTTCCATGCCTCAGTTTCCTTAACTGTAAGATGGGGAATATAATAGTATCTACTTCTCATAGGGTTGTGTGGATTTAATAGGTTAACACATATGTAAAGTGTTTAACATGATTAGCTCTGTAAGAACAGGGACCATGTCTGCTGAGCTCACCATCGTAACCTTGCTCTAACATCACCAGAGAGCACGGTGCCTGCATAGTAAACGTACAGTGAACATTTGTTGGGTGAATGGATGACGATAGGAACAGCTACTTCAACATAAAAATCACTTTGTTCGTTTCAGTCATCCTACGGCTTTTCCATAGGACAAAATAGAGAAGGCATGACTGGCTTTTGTAGCTTGGGAACGCTAGACCTTAAAATCCCCCCAGGCTATTTGAAAACCTAATTAAATCAAGTTTTGCCTTGATATTGAAGGACATTGGTGCTTGAATAAGGACAGGCTTCCAGTCCATGTGGACAGGATCATCTCTGAACTCCTTTAAAGATCTAAAATAGGTCTCGATTTTACTTCTCTATATTTTAACAGACATGTCAATTACATTTGACTTTCTAGGTGAGTATCTTCACTCTTTTTTCTCCTGTTGGAGAGCCCCCAGATTTGTCCTCTCTAATTTATTGGCCTTCAGAAATTTACTGAATTTCCTAGCAGGACTATTGATGAAGCAAGGTAGATATTTTCAGTGTTTTAAGTCACTTTATCTTTGGCCTCATTCTTTTCCTCTATAATATGTATGGTCTCTGCCCACAGACCATTTGAACTCCTGTATAAGGGAGATAGGCAAACCAATGATATTAGCGACCCATCAATTATCACGTGGAAGAGATTGGGCTATTGGTTCGTTTGTTGACTTGTTCATTCATTCTTTTATTGATTAATTTTATCTGTATGGCAAGTAGGACTCCTGAGCTGAAGGTCACAAAGGCCATTCTAACAGCTGAGATAGGAGAGGCTGTTGACTGAACTTTGATATGAGAAGATTTAGGGAGCACATGGTAGGATAGGAGGGCAGGGAAGCAAAGAAAAGGAGAATGAGACTGAAGAGAAAAGGGCCGATGGATGCATATAAGAAAAAAGTACAAGTAATCCCCTTAGAAACATCCTCTAAAAATGTCAGCCAGTACAGACGAGCTTTTCTTTTACTGGCAATAATGCATCTGAAATGCATTATTCAGAGAAGACAATATTACCAAAGTCAACATGTATAGTGACAACTCTGCCTTGTTGCAGAAGGAAAAAAAAATAGCGATGTGGATGTGCTTCAAGTAAACGAAAATGAATCCAGTTCATAATCAAGTAAAAATGTTATGGGTCCAGAGCCAGAGAATATTCTTATAGTGGGCTTTTTTCAGCACCCTAAATTTAACCAGATGGAATGCTTTTTAAAGCACCACCCTATTCAAACTTTGGAATTGAAGAATTTGTCTTTTAATGGTAAATTTGCATTCCATCAAAAGATGGAACACGTCATCCTCAGCTTACTTATTACCCAGAAATAAATTATAATTTAATTTATTTTACTTTATGTTCTATGATGAATACCTAGAGTTCAGAAAATTTGTTTCAGACATGATCCGGTAGAGGTATACAACAGGGGTTGAAGCACATTAAAAATGCAAACTCCATTCCTGGTCTACTGAAAGCCATGTAACCACAAATTCTTGTTGGTTTTAATATGAGCATCCTATTTCACAAACCCCAAATAGTGAGGTTAGAGAAGAGAATACTCACTACCCTGAATAAGGAAAAATTAATGAAGCTGAATTATTAGTAAGGGAGGATCTAGTTGCTGAAATGCAAATGGGTCAACAGTAAGTTAGCATAATCCAACAGGGAACCATGGGGCCGGTCAAAAATTCTCGGTTTGGAAAAAGTCTCATATGCTACTGAAATAGCATCTTGATTTTCTGATAGCTACAAGCGGAAGCTGTGGTGGTGGAATTGGTGCCCGCGTTTCTAATTTCTGTACAGTGGGCCAGGGGAGGAGGGTGGACATTATGATCTCTGGTTCACAGACAAGGGACCTGAGGCTCAGAGAGCTTGAGTGACTTAACCAACATCACCCAATGCAGGGTCGTTTCCAAAGCTTCAGTTTTGTAATCTTGAGTAGTAGTTTCACAAATAGAGCACAACTGAATTTTGGTCAATGATATTAAAAGCTAATGTGGGAGAACATATGATGTCTTAGTAAAAATAATGCTAAACAGGGTAAACTCCCAAATACTTGAGAGGGAATTATTTCTTACATATAAGCCTGCCTTCTGCCACCCAGCACATTTTTGCTTGTCCACTTTTGTCAGAAAATGACCTTTCTTGGGATATATTGAGGTGAGAGACTTCCTTCTGAGAGTTCCTTGAGATGAAAGTGATCCACTTAAACTTAAATCCATTTGAATGGTCTACTATAATGTATTGATGCACCTTAAAAGGAATTTTAGCCAGTGACATGGAAGAAAGAGCCTGAGAGATGGGTAGGGGCTCCTGGTCTGGAGTCATGAAAGAGGATTCCTCACAGTTAAGAGGAGAGGATGAAGGATGGTTTAGTGTGTGAAAGAAGTAGAAGACAAAAGTCTTGATTTATCATGTGGGAAATGGAGTTACAAAACAAAGCCTAGGAAAAGAAATATAGTCAAAGGAATATGAAGTATAACGAACTCTTAAGTGGCTTAATGGGGTCAGGGAGGGGCAAAAGGGAAACAATATTAGGATTCTGGACCTTCTTATGCGGTTATTGTAGGAAGAAAGAAATCCATGTGGGAAGAGTTGCTGGCCTATTCTGGAAGAAGAGAGAAAAGCAGGCTCAATTTCTGGGATAGCCCACACTAGACTCAAATGGTGGTATTGCTCCTTGGAAATCAACATGACAGTCAATTGTGCTCTGCTACTGAAGAGGTCTCCAAATTTAGACTATGAAAATCTAATGAACTCATATTACATATCAAAAAATTATCTAAGTGAGCCAGCCCTGATGTCCTAGTGGTTAAAGTTCTGCACGCTTCGCTTGGGCGGCCTGGATTCCGTTCCCAGGTGCAGAACCACACCACTTGTCTGTCAGTTGCCATTCTGTGGCAGTGGCTCACATAGGACCAGAAGAACTTACAACTACACACAGCTGTGTACTGGGGCTTTAGCGGGCGGGAGGGGAAGAAGAAAACAGCAGGAAGATTGACATTAGATGTTAGCTTAGGGCGAATCTTCCCCTGCAAAAAAAAAAAATTATCTAACCATTCTAAAGTCAGATTGACAAGTTTTTTAGATTATCTACTGTTTTGAATTATTCCATTTGGTTATATTTGTATTGATATTTGACAGCTGGCTTTGCAATAAATTCCTCTATTAGGTAATTCATCACTTGGATACTTTATTTTTTTACAAAAAATATATGATCACTTACCTACAGTAGTAAAACTAAAGAGAAAATCCAAAAATACTTTAGAAGAGAGACAAAATTTTTTTGTTTGTGTCTGGATCAATAGAAGACATTTATTAAATACTAATAACAAACATACTATACTTAAATTATCTGGACATCAAATCAGATAGAAACAATTTACTAATAAGATTCACATTTGTATAATATACAGTTATAAAACACTACCCCAAGAATTATAATTCCATCACATTTTTATTTGATATGTTGTATAATCACTAAAATATGAGCAATAAAACAAATGAGAAAAATTCAAACATTTTAGAACACAAAAATTTCTTGCTGTGTTTCTGGAGTATTTCAGTAAACTTGTCAATAGCAAAACATACATTAATCATACCATCTACAAATAGAATAAAATGGAAGCAATTAACTTTTAAGATTTATTTTTAAATAATCCACAGTTACAAAGTATTATCTTAAAAATTATAATGCCTTCCATTTGAGCCATTGTATTATCACTTAATTGCTGTTACCAATAAAATTAGAAGAGAAAAAAAATCAAAATTACTTTACTGGAGAGTCAAAAAAACATCTCCCTGTGACTCTGGATTTTCAGAAGTAGACTCATTGGAAGGTGGGATCAACTTAAATGGTGATCCAATATCTGTTTATAGATTGTGTGGCAGAAGGCCAAATCCAATAGTTGCTGTGGAGACATTTCTTGTTGGCGGAAAATGTGCTGGGCCAGAAAAGTCCCTTGGTGGAGATGATTCCTGAGAGTTTCCCCTTCAGTTTCTTCTTCTCAGATATTTTTCCCTGGGATCCTTCTGACGGGAGAGTAAGGTGGAGGACTCTGGGCCAGCAGTTGTATGTGGGGGGTAGGGGAGGGAGGGTTGAATCTAAAGACAGTCCCTAATATCTGCCAGTGTGAGACGGGCTAGGACAAACTCCTGTCTTATGGAGAAATTGCTGCATTAGGGCAAAGTTGGCCAGATGGAGGGATCCTGCTCCTGTTGTCCTAACCCTGGGGAGATGGTCCAAACCTGACACTGGATCCTGGATCCCATCACAGCCTGATGTTCCTCCTTCCTCAGGGACCTGTTGTCCAGAGGAGTCCCTGGTAGTCCTCACCAGCCTACCGCCCCATTCAGAACATCAGGCACATTAAGAATACTTTCTGAGGCATTTAAATTCTTCTTTGGTAATTTTTTATCTCATGCATGCATCTTCCTTTCTAAGTTAACAATGTTTCTCTCAGACAACAAAGCTGGATTTGATAATAGCAAGTGATTTTTTTGACTTTTTCTTAAATAATTTGGAATTTTATAGTTGTCCAGCTCTTTACATGTGTGGAATCTTTCATTCCAAAATGTTCATCCCAAAGCTTGATCTTATTTTCTTTACCATTTTGAATTTTTTTCAATATCACTTTAGACTTTTCTAATACTTTTTTCTTTTTGATAAGTTTGCTCTTCTTTTCCATTCTTTAGCTTCTTGTGAAAGCAGCTTTGGCTTCCCTGAAGATGAGAATATTCATCAAAAGCATCTTTTAGCACTGTCTGAAGTTGTTCATCGTTCTTGTGATGTATTTTGAAGGCAGTTTAGGTTATTTTTTTGCTACTTGAAATTGAATGTGTTTTGATAAATCATTTAAATTCTGAATCTTTCTTGTAATGTCATCCATTAGATTACCTTGTTATAAATATTAGATTTAATCTCTTTGAAAAGTCTATTAAGCCTGAGTAAAAAATTGGAGCTTCCCAGGTCTTTAATAGTGACCTCCAGTGATTATATTTCTGATCATTTATTCTCAAGTCTGACTTGCATTAAAGTGGGTGCAAGGTCTCCAAATTCTTTTTTAATCAGGATAAGCTTTTCAAAAACTTGATGTCTTTCCACCAGAAAGGCAATATTCTAGTGGCTGGTTTGTTTCTACTGAAGTAACACTTTTTAAATAACAATAATAATAAAAAACTATGACTATTACCACCATTTTTCATAGCAATCTATGGAAACCTAGGCCTGATCTATGATCCCCTAACAGTGCTGCTGTAACCTGGTATAGCATCTCCAGGATCATTGTAACACAACATCATGGCCATCAGTGGATACTTCATGGTCTCCAAGGCCACTCTGAGCTGCCTCACATTTGGTAGGACTGTGCTAGTCACAACAGACTGCAGAGAAGACTGTTGAGTATTCCACTCAGAACCAAGCCTTACCTGACATTCAGGGAAAACAGTAAAATACCAGCTAATCTCCTTCTCTTGAAAAAATTTTTCATCCTGTGGCTCTGAAAACCTTATCTTGCCCTCAGGGAATGAGGCAGAGAAAATGGATAGCACTCTTCTCACAATGGCAGTTGGGTCACTTGAGCTCCTTCTGGAAACTAAACAACATACTTCTAAATAACAATGGGCCAAAAAAAAAATCACAAGAGCAATTAGAAAATGTTTCTAACTAAATGATAATGAAAGTACAACATAACAAAATGTGTGGGTTGCAGATAAAAAAATACTCGCAGGGATATATGTAGCACTTAAAGCTTATATAAAAAAGAACAAAGGTTTAAATCGATACTCTAAGTTTCCATCTCAAGAATATAAAAAAGAAGAGTTGATTAAAGTAGAAATGGATTATAGAATAATAGTAGAGAAAATTAACAAAAAGTCAAAAATTAGTTCTTTAAAAAGATTAATCAAATTTAATGTCTAGCAAGTAATGACCAATAAAAAACACAGAAACCATAAATTTTCAGTATCAGAAATAAAATAGCTAATATCACTATAGATCCTATAGATAAAATAATGAGTAAGAAATATCATGAACAACTTCATGCCAATAAATTTGACAACTTAGAGATAATGGACAAATTTCTTGATAAAATCAACTTATCAAAATTGACATAAGAAAAAATAGAATATCTGAGTAGCATTGCATCTCTTCAAGAAATCAAATTCATTATCAAAATCTTCCTCCAAAGAAAAGTCTAGATCTAGTAATTTTCATCTATAAATTCTATTAAACATTTAAAGAACAAATAAGACCACTCTCACACAAACTATCAGAAAATAGAGGAGGAAGAAACATATCCCAGTTCATTTTATGAGATAAGTATAGCACTGATACTCACATCCTTCAAAGACATTATAAGAAAATAAAATTACAGACAAATGTTGATTATGAAATCTTTATGAAAATATTAGCAAATTGAGTCTAGTAACATATAAGAATTATAGTACAAGATGACCAAATGGAATTTATTCCCAGAATGAAAAGTTGTTTAACATTCAAAAGTCAGTAAAATTAACAGAAGGATAAAAAACATATGATCATCATAGGAGATTCAGAGAAAGCATATGTCAAAATTCAATACCTATTTGTTGATATAACCTCTCAGTGAACTAAAAATCGATAGGAACTACTTCAAACAGCTAAAATCTTATTTAATGGTGAAATAATGAGTGTTTTCCCCTTCAGATTAGGAACAAAGCAAGATACCTCTTCTCATTGATTTTATCCAACATTATATGCTGAAACCAGTACATTTAGGCAAAAAGAAAAAAGTCATAAAGATTGAAAAGGAAGAAATAAAACTGGATTTTCAGATGACATGATTACGTACAAAG